GTGATTGCCACGTTTGAATTGCGATCGCATAGGGGAGAGGGGTCAATCTCCCTCTCCCCTTTTTGTTTTCCGAGTTCTCCTTGAAAATGCGACGAAACTGAAAAATGGCACGTGGAAAATGGTCATGTTCGCCACATTTGAACTGTGATCGCATAGGGAAGGGGGTTGATCTCCCTCTCCCTTTATTTTTTCAGATTTTTTATTGCAAAAAACTCGAAACTGAAAAATGTCATGTGGGGAAAGGTCGTGATTGCCATGTATGAACTGTGATCGCATAGGGGAGAGGGGTTGATCTCCCTCTCCCCCTATTTTTTTCTAAGTTTTCCTTACAAATGCGACGAAACTGAAAAATGTCACGTGGGAAAAGGTCGTGATTGCCATGTATGAACTCAAATTACATACGGGAAGGGGGTTGATCTCCCTCTCCCTTTCTTTTTTTTCATTACTTTTCCATTAAAAAACTCGGAACTAAAAAATGTCATGTGGGAAAAGGCCGTGATTGCCACGTTTGAACTGTGATCGCATAGGGGAGGGAGGTCGATCTCCTTCTCCCCCTTTTGTTTTCTGAGTTCTCCTTGAAAATGCGACGAAACTGAAAAATGGCACGTGAGAAATGATCAGTTTCGCCACGTTTGAACTGTGATCGTATAGGAAAGGGGGTTGATCTACCTCTCCTTTTTCTTTTTCCAGATTTTTTATTGCAAAAAACTCGAAACTGAAAAATGTCATGTGGGAAAAGGTCGTGATTGCCATATATGATTTGCGATCGCATAGGGGAGGGGGGTTGATCTCCCTCTCCCCCTATTTTTTTCTGAGTTTTCCTTACAAATGTGACGAAACTGAAAAATACCACGTGGGAAAAGGTCGTGATTGCCATGTATGAACTCAGATCGCATACGGGAAGGGGGTTGATCTCCCTCTCCCTTTCTTTTTTGTCATTACTTTTCCATTAAAAAACTCGGAACTGAAAAATGTCATGTGGGAAAAGGTCGTGATTGAACTGCGATCGCATAGGGGAGGGGGGTCGATCTCCCTCTCCCCCTTTTGTTTTCTGAGTTCTCCTTGAAAATGCGACGAAATTGAAAAATGGCACGTGAGAAATGGTTATGTTCGCCACGTTTGATCTCCCTCTCCCTTTTTTTTTCCAGATTTTTTACTGCAAAAAACTCGAAACTGAAAAATGCCATGTGGGAAAAGGTCGTGATTGCCATGTATAAACTGCGATCGCATAGGAGAGGGGGGTTGATCTCCCTCTCCCCCTATTTTTTTTCGAGTTTTCCTTACAAATACGACGAAACTGAAAGATGCCACATGGGAAAAGGTCATGATTGCCATGTATGAACTCAGATCGCATACGGGAAAAGGGTTGATCTCCCTCTCCCTTTCTTTTTTTTCATTACTTTTCCATTAAAAAACTCGGAACTGAAAAATGTCATGTGGGAAAAGGTCGTGATTGCCACGTTTGAACTGCGATCGCATAGGGCAGGGGGGTCGATCTCCCTCTCCCTTTTTTTTTTTCTGAGTTCTCCTTGAAAATGCGATGAAACCGAATAATGGCACGTGGGAAATGGTCATGTTTGCCACGTTTGAACTGCGATCGCATAAGGAAGGGGGTTGATCTCCCTCTCCCTTTTGTTTTCCAGATTTTTCATTGCAAAAAATTCAAAACTGAAAAATGTCATGTGGGGATAGGTCGTGATTGCCATGTATGAACTGCGATCGCGTAGGGGAGGGGGGTTGATCTCCCTCGCCTCCTATTTTTTTCTGAGTTTTCCTTACAAATGCGACGAAACTGAAAAATGCCACGTGGGAAAAGGTCGTGATTGCCATGTATGAACTCAGATTGCATACGGGAAGGGGGTTGATCTCCCTTTCATTTTTTTTTCCAGATTTTTTATTGCAAAAAAACTGAAAACTGAAAAATGTCATGTGAGAAAAGGTCGTGATTGCCATGTATGAACTGCGATCGCATAGGGCAGAGGGGTCAATCTCCCTCTCGCCCTTTTGTTTTCTGAGATCTCCTTGAAAATGCGACGAAACTGAAAAATGGCACGTGGGAAATGGTCATGTTCGCTGCGTTTGAACTGCGATCGCATAGGCAAGGGGGTTGATCTCCCTCTCCCTTTTTTTTTCCAGATTTTTTATTGCAAAAAACGTGAAACTGAAAAATGTCATGTGGGAAAAGATCGTGATTGCCATGTATGAACTGCAATCGCATAGGGCAGGGGGGTCGATCTCCCTCTCCCCCTGTTTCTTTCTGAGTGTTCCTTCAAAATGCGACGAAACTGAAAAAATGTCACATGGGAAAAGGTCGTGATTGCCATGTATGAACTCAGATCGCATACGGGAAGGGGGTTGATCTCCCTCTCCCTTTTTTTTCCCAGATTTTTTATTGCAAAAAAACTGAAAACTGAAAGATGTCATGTGGGAAAAGACCGTGACTGCCACGTTTGAACTACGATCGCATAGGGGAGGGGGGTTGATCTCCCTCTCACCCTTTTTTTTTTCCTGAGTTCTCCTTGAAAATGCGACGAAACTGAAAAATGGCACGTGGGAGATGGTCATGTTTGCCATGTATGAACTTAGATCGCATCCGGGAAGGAGGTTGATCTCCCTCTCCCTTTTTTGTTTCAGATTTTTCATTGCAAAAAACTCGAAACTGAAAATGTCATGTGGGGAAAGGTCGTGATTACCATGTATGAACTGCGATCGCATAGGGGAGGGGGGTTGATCTCCCTCTCCCCCTATTTTTTTCTGAGTTTTCCTTACAAATGCGACGAAACTGAAAAATGCCACGTGGGAAAAGGTCGTGATTGCCATGTATGAACTCAGATCGCATACGGGAAGGGTGTTGATCTCCCTCTCCCTTTTTTTCTTCATTACTTTTCCATTAAAAAACTTGGAACTGAAAAATGTAATATGGGAAAAGGTCGTGATTGCCACGTTTGAACTGCGATCGCATAGGGGAGGGGGGTCGATCTCCCTCTCCCCCTTTTTTTTTCTGAGTTTTCCTTGAAAATGCGACGAAACTGAAAAATTGCACGTGGGAAATGGTCATGTTTGCCACGTTTGAACTGCGATCGCATAGGGAAGGGGGTTGATCTCCCTCTCCCTTTTTTTTTCCAGATTTTTTGTTGCAAAAAACTGAAAACTGAAAAATGTCATGTGGAAAAAGGTCGTGATTGCCATGAATGAACTGCGATCGCATAGGGAGGGGGGTTGATCTCCCTCTCCCTTTTTTTTTTCCAGATTTTCTTTTTGAAAAAAATCAAAACTCAAAAATGTCATGCGGGAA